TATATATATATATATATATATATATATATATAACTCAACGCGAAAGGAGTTTGAGGACTGAAGTTTTTCCCTTAGTATACGTACCACGTACTACTACGTACTGCGACTAATCGTGCTACGGTGCGGTTCGGCGGTAAAGTCGTACTGTCCTCTGTGATAGGAATGTGAAGCTAGTAGGGTGCTTCTTTTAGGAGACCAACATGTACGCATACATGGGAGCAGCGATGCTGCCTTTTTCCGAGGAAGGACGGGTTAGAAAAGGTCGGCCCTAAAAACCACAAACCTCGGTCGCCCAAAAGTTGACTGTCACCGGTACGTTACTCAATACGGTCAAAATACTCTTAAAACCGGGGCTGCTCAAAAGGCACTAGCTGTGCGCGAACGCATCAGATGTGAGGCAGTAATGCCCTATCATCTGCGCCCTCGTTTTAGGCTAACCTCCTGCAGTCGAACAGGGTTCCCAAAGAGAACCTTACTATCCGCTGCCTCGCTGGTCGGACTTTCGAATCAAAGGCTCAAGATGGGGTACCTCAACCAAACCCGACCTGGGCAACCGAGTGGTATCATTTGCCCGCACAGTTCTGTGTCCACCGATGTTCTCCCGATCCCTAACACCACACGCGCAAACGTCGATGGGTAATTTGCCTGCCAGTTCAGTCCCCGTGGTGTTTGCATATTAATGGGAGCAACAATGCTGCCTTCCCCAAGCAAGGACGGGTTGTAAAAGGTCGGCCCCGAAATCGGCACACTTCAACCGTCCAACAGTTAACTGTGAGAACCACCGTAATAATAATAATAATATAATCGTCCAGCTATAGCACCTTTTCGGTGCCTAGCTGCCATGCCACACGAAGGAGGCACGAGGGCCGGGAGAGGTCGGGAGTCGGCGTGCTTCAATGATCCTGCGAGCTACATTAGCTGGAACTGCGTTCCAAAATGTCCGAAGATGCCAGGAAGGCCAACGGAGAGCAGTTCGACGAAGAATATCGAGTCCACATACTGCGACAAATCACAGTCAAGCGAGCAGTACGACTAGCGGCTCTTGCTCATACGCTGGATTCTCTCTGGATTGACATGCTGTCTATAAGAAACAAGTATCCAGGACGCAGGTACTTTAGTTGGACAGACTGCTCCTCACTCCCTCCCAGCTTCCGGCTGCACACCTTTGGTGACGCTGAGGCCACTGCAGTTGGATATGCCGTGGCGGGTCGATTAGAACTTCTGCTCGATTGATTACCGGGTCGTTTGGCAACGTCTATGAAAGAATTTCGAGAAAGTGGGGATTATCGATCCTTGTTTATGGTTCCCGAAGGAGTGCAGCTAGGATTATGCCAAGGACAGTTCCTATGACGCTCCAGGTGCTCTTTTACAACGGCCTAAAAGCTCAGACACCGTTGTGGTCGCTGGTTACATGAACGCTCTTGTCGGTAGACTGAGGGATGATGATGCCTAAATAGGTGGTTACTGACCGGAAGGTCTGTGGTTCGAACCCGACCTCCACCACTCGACTTCCCCTGACTAGGCTTGGGCAACCTGACAGTATCCCAGCCCTCGCGCTTCCTTCGGGTGGCATGGCAGCTAGGCACCGAAAGGGCGCTACAGCTGAACGATTTTTTTAGGTGGTCGCAAGGGCAACGAAGAATGTCCCCTGAAGGTGTGTCGACCAGACTGGTTTTATTGCAGTATCAACTTCCGGAACGGCGGAAACCGCTCGATAACACTGCGCCAAACAACATCTCAATCCCGAATCCAAATAGACCACGGTGCCATTAGTTACCAATGGTGAGGGTCGACCACTGTCAGTTGCTCCTTCTGGAATACGTGTGTGAAATCCGACAATCCACTTGCCCATCGCTGTTTCTCAATGAGCCCCTCAAATCAACGCTAGAAATTGTCTGCGATATAACCCAGCCAACTGTCATGATTGTTGTCTGCCTATTATTATAATCACCCTATATACTCGTACTGAACCTGCCTATGTGTATTTCAGCTCGTCCAAGCTTGTCCCTGTACAAGTAAAACGTTTATCTTCGATAACTTGGAATCTCCTCTGACTCGTTCTCCTACGCATTCAAAGCGTCTCAAATTACTTGTTTGGGAACACAATGGATCCGCAGCTACGACCTCGGTTCTTCGACGCCAACCCAAAATCCGTAGCCATACGCTGGAATCACTGGCTTCGTACCCTCGAAACCAATATGAAAACTGTTGAATCCTCCAAACCTAACAAACTAGAAACCCTCGTCCACTTTTTGGATTCTCTGGCACACGATTACACTGCTGATTACACCTACTACGGATTTGCGACCGATACGTTACGAAGATTATACGTCGGTTTAAAAAAGTGATATATGAACGCTACCTAATACAGACTTACAAGCAAGAGAACGGATAGGATATTGGTCAGTTCGACGAAAATTGAAATTAGCCAAAGATTGATAGTCTAATGATCGTTCAGCTGTAGCACCCTTTCGGTGCCTAACTGCTATGTCACCCAAAGAAAGCACGAGGATCTGGATACTGCCAGGTTGCCTAAGCCTAGACAGGGAAAGTCAAGAGGCGGAGGTTGGGTTTGAACCATGGACCTCCAGGTCAGCGAATACGCGTTCTAACCACTTGAGCTATCTCGCTCCAATGGAGAGTCTAAATCAATATCTGCAACTGAATATCAAGAGGAATGCGTGCTCCAATTAACGGCCTGGCCTGCTCCATTGAACCATGGCCTCCAGGTCAGCGAATACGCGTTCTAACCACTTGAGCTATCTCGCTCCAATGGAGAGTCTAAATCAATATCTGCAACTGAATATCAAGAGGAATGCGTGCTCCAATTAACGGCCTGGCCTGCTCCATTCACGAAAGCCTTCTAGCACAGAACGAACCAACTCTGGACCAAGAATATCAACTTGACAGATCCCCAAAGTTGGCTCACAAACAGTCGCAACCATGTTAGCAGCGGACCTATATTCTGCTCTATGATTTCGCCCATCTCACAGAATCCGGAACCACGCGTCGACTCGACCAAAGCTTCTGTAAAATACATTCGAACGTTATTTCCGTGATGATGATATACACCCTCATTCAAAGCTCGAGGAACCATCTGTAATCTTTGCGGGAAACCCGGTAACTTCCACCGCGTATGCCGTTCAAAAAATACCACTAAGCTCCACACATTTCGTACAGTGAAGCCCACTTTAACTTCATTAATCATTGCAGCAGCACCCACCTGCCTGGAGCATGTCATCATAATTATCGATTGCAATTGCTCTCCGTGCTCTGGTCACTACAGGCAGTGCTTCAAGTTTCATTAGTTCTAATACCGTGAAACTACATAATTGAAGATTTTATCCAACTTTCTCAATCGTCACGATGGGCGAGATGGCCCAAGTAGGTAGAGCGCGAATTTACTGACCGGAAGGTTCGTGGTTCGAACCCGACCTCTGACTCTCGACTTCCCCTGTCTAGGCTTGGGCAACCTGGCAGTATCCCAGCCCTCGTGAAACCTTCAGGTGGCATGGTAGTTAGGCACCGAAAGGGTGCTACAGCTGAACAATTTCTTCTACATCACTATCCTGTAGAACGACCGATTACGCTTATGCTTCTATCCGATACAGAGGTACAATATACAAAGGGCTAAAGTTCTTTATAATGCCTCTGCAACAACATCCTACTGGGGCATGATTTCTTAGGCCTACACAGCAAGATAGAAATTTCATTCGGCGGGGATTGTGATGCGACCACCATTTGCGACCTAACGGCACTAAACGTTGGGTTATCGTTAATTATCGCCAACTTGTCCCCAGATTTCAAGCCTGTTGCCATAAAATTAAGATATCATTAGGACAATGAAGAATTCCTCCACGTCGTAGCGAGACTTTTTAGTCAATTGTGCTTCACCGTCTTATGGTGGCTCGTGAAACACTGACTTAAGAGCAGCTAGCGGGATTCCGGCCTAGTAGGGGTTGCGTTGACCAAATCTTTACACTCTGTCAGGTGCTAGAACAACGATATACGTATAGGTGCCCCACGATTCCAGTGTTCCTGGATTTCCAAGGCGCATTCGACTCGGTTGATCGGTCTATTCTTCATGACACGCTTGCCCACCAAGGAATGTCCCGGACGATTGTAAACATAATACGTTCTTTGTATTCTCAGATTTCCGGGCGTGTGCGTGTACTAGGAGCTTTCCAAAAAGCTTCCGTACGCAAAGTGGTATCCATCAGGGATGCCCACTCTCCCTATTCCTGTCCAATTTCGTGAATGATGGAATCATGAGAAGTCCGCAAGCAAGCAGGAAAGTAATCTGTTCCTGTTTGCATGCTGAACTTCCTCTGTATTGATATATGTTGCCTGTCATAAATAAGGATCCGGAATAAGAGTACCGTAACTCAACTGACTATCTGTCGCCCATCCCAATTTCAGCTGTGCAACCCTGATGACACGAAGGCCAGGGTGTGTGTGTTGCGTTGAGCGATCAAACGTGAGTGTATTTTCGCTTGACATAACTAAGTAGTCGCTTCCGATTTGGACATCAGCTGAACGACCGAGTGTGGGGGAGCGCCTAATGAAGTTGTGTACCAATTTTCTGAACAGCGGAAGTGGTGTTCTTCAACAGATTAGTCAACAAACTCGTAAACCACACTCACATCGTTTACAGAGGGGTGCGCTTGGCGCTAAGCGTGGATTACAGCCCGACGTAGGAAACATGTTAAACTCGCTGTTCGTCCCTTTATTTGATGGTGCCTAGGAGCATAGTGTACATATATGTATACTGGGCAGACGGAATGAGGAAAAGTGTGCAAGTCTCAAATGTGATGCCAACTGAACTACTCTCAATATGGAAGACGGCGGGAGTAAATTCGACGCCGATGAAAGGCCACGGTGTCTGTCAATGTGACTGATTTACAAGTGTATAGTATGTACACTATGGAAGCACCAGGGAACAGTGATTCTCCGAAGGTAGAGATTCAAAACAATATCCGAGGATAGAAGATGGGAAGAAAGATCATGAGCCAAAACCCAGTAAGCAAGGTTGTACATCACCTACGCCCACATGCAAAGAGGTAAGACCAGCCAACACCGCACACAGCACAACCCGCAAGCCATGCCTGGTACATATATATATATATATATACGTATATCCTGAACGACCTTGGAGAATTAGAAATGCAATAGCACATACAAAGTGAGCTTGGTCAATTAGGAAAGGACCACTGATGTTGGGGATGCCGATTTCTGGACGCACACCTCAACCTTCTCCCCTACGAAAACGAGCTTCATTGTAGCGCCACCAAAAGAATTGCTTCTTGGTGCCGCCACCCAATGCTCAGAGCCGCTAGCGGCTCGAGGCACAATGCATTTTTCTGCAAAACCCCTGCAGGTGAAATAAAATATTTAACGTCAAAATGTTGCGCTTCATTGCATATATGCTCAGACTGAAAATTCCTCTCACCTGCCGTCATTTTTCGCGATTTGTTTTAATCGATCTCTTTTGAAAATTATTGGCGCACATTCGGCTTTGAACTTCGTCTACTATGACTTCGGAAGTGGCTTTCGTTGAGAAATTTGTGGGTGTATCGTCTTCATCCTCCACGGCATTTCAGAAGACCTTAAAT